TTGCTGATTTAGGGAGCATGTCGGTTGCTATGACAACAAAAATGAAATTTTTAATGTTTTATACATTTTTATATGAACCTATTGACCTCTCTGATATGACTTACGCAAAAACTTTCGTTTAAAAATGAATTGTTATTCGTTTATAATTTGACATTTGAGCATTGTAAGCTATTCGGCAGTCATCAGGCAATTTCAGATGACGTCATTTGATCACGTGATTTCGGCAAGAAAGCTACTCATAGAAGCTTGCTATCATGGATTATAATAAACTTCAGTTATTGCAGATTCCAAAAAGTCATGATAGCACTGGTCCCTCCATATGGTACAAAAAACCCTATTTTTGAGGTCTTGGCCCATGGACTAAATGTTTTATTCTCAGCTAACCAACGAAGTGATCGAATCACCGATACGTATTACCCGTGGTGCTTTGCGCCACGCACAGCCAACCCCAAATAATTATTATGCAATAACTATTTAAATATAAATAATATATATATATATAATACTATAATTGAGTTATATATAGATCAGAGCACAAGTGTATACAGGCAAAGGGATAATTAATGGATATTGTGAAATTCGCAAATCGCGACAACACGTCTCCGCAACAATACGCCATCTGGTGAGAAGCGTGTACGCCGACATTTTGTATATTCAATTTTCATGCGTTTTAGTTTTACTTGAGAATTATATAAGCGATTCCTTATTGCATTTAATATTTGCAGCTATTCTGGAGTACGCATCGTGTTCAGTACACTTTATAGATTGCAATCATGAGTGACTTGCAACCTAAGAAAATGAAAGTGGCTGAGTTGAGGGTTGAGTTGCAGTCGCGTGGTTTAGACACGAAAGGAACAAAGGCTGTTTTAGTAAAAAGATTGGAGAAATTCCTTGGTTCTTCTGCAGCTGGTGAGTTATACGTATTTTAGTATATTAATTGTAAAATTGGCACAGGAGATTTATACGGTGTAACCAATGTAAACAAACTGGTTGTAATGTAAATACTAAATCCGAAATGGAATCGGTAGGCCTAAATTAGTAAATAGTAAACATTTCATGACCGGTTGTTACCGGGGTACGGGTACTACTACAGTACCGGTGTCACCACAGGCACTTGGAGCGTTTCAATCAAATATAAAGCTAAATAAGTACGAAATCTATTTACTACCAAAGTCTTAATGTTTCTATAAGTACCGGTACCGGTACCGTACTCTCTTTCACCTAGTATTATTGCCGACAATTTTCTGCAAATACCGGGTATCGTCCAAATGCTCATCTGCAACAAACGCTGGCTACCGCCATGGTAGCTCTAGTACTATAGTCCGCGTACAGTTGCCGCTGGGCTATAGCATCAACAATTACGAGTGCTCGGGACCAACTTACTTCAGCCAGTCAGCAGGAACTATGTATTTCCGCACGTGGAGGGGTGGGCGGGTTGTGTTGGTTGTGGACAAAAACATTGTTGTTATCAAGTAACAAATTAATAATAGTAATTTGTTCATCTTTCATGACAAAACTAATATTACAATCTTTACACCGTCGTTGTAATCAAACTGTAGTCGTTAGTTTTAAAACATTTTTAAAAATATTTCTAATGGTGATTGAACCATGAAACTTTTTATGTAGCGCAATTATAACCTAAATTAGCTGAAAATAACCCTAGAACCTAGAGTCTACTGTTCCTTTAAAACCTTTGTACAAATGCTGACGGGGGGGGGGAGGGGGCAAATGCCCCCCTTGGCGCCGCCACTGCTTCTAGTTCTACTGTTGTAAACCATCTATATAATCTACAACTAATATATATACACATAAATACAATCAAGAGCTAATAATACATCTATTATTAGCTCTTGATACAATAGAAGTAGATAATAGGGAATTTCCCTACAACTACAAGTATTCTTCCCAAGTATTCAAGTATACAAGTATATTCAAGTATTCAAGTATACTTCCCAAGTATACAAGTATTCTTCCCTCTACAAGTATTCTACATTTATTTCCCTATCAGTATATCTACTTCTGATAGTGATACTGATACAATTAGTCCATGGGCCAGACATGCTCAAATGTACCATTCAGAGGGACCAGCCGGAAGTGGTATAGATTTGAAGCTTAGCCTAGGGTGATTACAAAAAGTCATGATAGCAATCCCGAAAGAGTAGCTTTCTTGTATATTTTTAGCTCGGAAATATCGTATATATAGTCAATTTGACGTTCTTATGTATTCAATACCCAACCTAGAAATATTCTTTCCTATGATGTTTTTTTTGCTGATTTGTACTCATATGGGGTCCTAAAACAAATTCAGCTTGGTTGCCCAAATGGCAACTTTGGGCAACTAGTAATTTGCACAAATCCAAAATGGCCGCTGGACTCCATCTT